GGCAGTTACCTGGGGTTCCAGTGGGAAGTCGTGACCAGTAGGGTGCAGCAGGTCGGCCGTGAGGAAAAATACTCACCAGCGATGACACTGGCTAGTGCCAGTAGCTCTATGTCGTGAATTGGCAGAAGTTAGAATTCATGGGCTGGCAATTGAATCAGGGCCCAGTGGCTTAATGGTCTACGAGCTGATCTTGTAACTAGAAGGTCTTGGTGTCGAACTCTTGTGGTAGGTGTGCACTGCTGAAGAGTCCCAAACTAGGCTAACAAAACGGCTGTCCAGTAATCCTAGATTTTCCAATGTTTGTCTAACCGATGTCAGCTCATGATGAAATCCTGTAACCAATCAAAGAAAAATCCCTACAGACTAATACTTGAATAGTGAAATCTTTTTGAATATCATGTTCCTAAGCAGTCCTAGACAATTAAATCACCGGACGGTATTCAGGAATAAAAAGATCTGGCATTCTGATTTCGATCTGCTGACTAGACAAAACCTATGCAAGAAGTGAAAGAAGGCAGATACCTCAAAGGCATTGTGTAAGATTTTGAGCCAAGAATCAGCTAGAGTCGTCTCACGAAGATTCCAGCCAGACAACTTTCGCACTCTTGTTGACATTTGGACCAACAGTCAGAGGATTTAGCAGACTGATATCATGTTTAGGTTTGGTCACTACTATTTCCCAAGTTTACCTCCCATCGGTAACAATTGTTTCCGGCAGGGGTGGGTGGGAGAAATGTGGCCCAGAGTAACATAGTTAATGCAGCGTTATGTGTAGCTACAGACGAGCTCAATAGGTTGTCAGTCAAAATCTAATTTGTACACATTCTGATTTCCTAAACATCAATCAACCAGATGAAAAACCAATCGGATTTCACCACATTAATTGCCACTCATTAATCGGCCCAATGTTGAGTGCCCATAGTACTTTTTTTTGTAAGACTGTTGTAATCACAACAGACACACATTCCCAATATTAATGTGTGAGTTTTTTTGAAATTAACAGTCCAGGTCAATGGAAATCTACCAGGGAATTATCAAGAGTCAACTTCATTCGTGTAAAGATTCAGTGAACACAACAATAACGGTTCATCTAACGTGAGTAGAATTCGTCTGCAGAACACCACAACAGCATAACACCAACGGATCAATTGAAAATATCTCCGACGCACAAAAAATCAAGCTGGGAAAAACGACGACCGGAATAACTGCAACAATAATCTTTCTTAGACAAAATACGTGGTATGGTAAACATATTTACAAAACCTTAGAAATATAAGCCCACTAATAAACGAATCATATGTGTCCGATGGCAAACGAAGCAGAACAAGTTGCAGGCAGAGGAGACCTCGCCACACTCTACCAAACAACTAGGCACCTATCAGGCAAAAGTTCGACACAGATTAAGCCGATAAAGGACGACAATGGAAAGTCAATCACCAAAGAGGTGGAACAAAGAAAACACTGGGATGAACACTTCAAACGACTTCTACATCGTCCGCCACCTACAACACGCCCAACGATACCAACAACGGAAGCAGAACTACTAGTGAACATTGATCCCCCGACAAAATGAGAAGTCCTGAATGCAATCAAGATGCTGAAAGCTGGGAAAGCAGCAGGACCAGGTGGAATCCCTGCAGAAGCTTTGAAAATAGACCCAGAGACAACTTACTTACTTACTTTACTTCGGCTATCTCCTACGGGAGGATGAGCCGGCTTCATGAACGTCTCGAATCATCGCTGCCCACGCGCGGCAATTTGTAAGAGAGTTCATGAAGTTTCATGGGAATTTGGTACGAGTGATGTCCCCAGCATCGCTCGGCCTTTTGTTTGAGAGTGCAGCTCTAGCCTTTACACAGCCAAGTGTGACCTACAAGGCAGTAGGAGTGGAGTAAGGAGTCCACTATCCATTGGCAGCCGGTGACCGGAGTTCGGTTCATACGCCTTTTTGAATGGGGCCAGACATCCAGGACATCCAACAAGCCCTTTGTCCATACGTCTGCCGGTGAGCTCCAGTGAGCTTCATACGCCAGTCGTTGGAGGTTTGGAATCAGGGTTTAGCCATCTCCCCTAGACCGTCATCCAATGGACAGTCAACCCGGTGGAGAGCGCCGGGCATCCGCTTTCGCCCTCTCACTTTGGTGAGAAACACCTCCGCCACGTGAAGGCAGTGAGTAGGACTTCCTCAGGAGAGGCTATGTAAGACGCCCGGTCATATGGGAGCATTTCAAGAGGTGTACGGAGGGGTGGCCAACCCGCAGCGCAAGGCACCCACCCCCGACCATCCTGAGGCTTTGGAGACAACAGCGGACTTGATGACGCCACTGCTGGAGAAGGTGTGGAAAGAGGGCGAAGCACCTGAGGATTGGAAGAAAGGATACTTATTCAAACTACCAAAGAAAGGAGACTTAGGTCAAGGCATGGAATTATGCTCCTGTCCATTCCAAACAAAATACTAAGCCACATCATCCTGGAGAGAATCAAACAAGCCAACCTGGATGAAATACTCCGACCGGAACAAGCTGGATTCAGGAGAAACAAGTCATGTATTGCTCAAATCGCCACACTACGGGTCATCATTGAACAAAGCTTGAAATGGCAGTCACCCCGTCTATCTCAAATTCATCGACTTTGAAAAGGCCTTCACTAGACAGCGTCGATCGAGAGGTCATTTGGCAACTACTTCGCTACTACGGGGTCCCATCGACATTTATACAACTCATCCAACAATTATACGACAATGCTGCATGTCAAGTAGTCCACAACGGGAAACTTACGGAAGCCGTCGAAGTGAGGACGGGAGTGAGGCAAGACTGTCCACTATCACCAATGATCTTCCTGATTGCAATTGATTGGATAATGCGACAGACAACGGCAACCAACGAGGGAACAGGCATAAAATGGACTCACACAAAAAGAGACTTGGAGGATCTGGACTTCGCCGATGATATATGTTTGATTTCCCACAAACTGGAAGATATGCAAGTGAAAAGCAACAAGTTGGCAGAAGAAGCATCAAAGATAGGACTTCAGGTGCACAGCTGAAGCCCTATGTTCCTCTAGGAACTAAAGGATGCAATAATAATAATAATAATGATAATAATGTGTCCGATGAGGTTACCACCTATGCTATTACATGAATAAATCATGATTATACAGCCAACAAACACAACCTGTCTATCCCAACACAGATCGAAGTGATAAGACCATTTAGCTCGTTTTGTACCTGAGGTCATCATCTATAATATTTCAACCCCCAGGTAGTGTCACAACTGACAGGTGTGTGTGTATGCGCTTTCCTGACTGGTATTCGGTTACCAGTTATAGAACGCTTTCCCACTTCACTTGAAGTTTCACGCTATCCTAAGTAAGGTTGGTTAACAAGTTATCTTTCCACTGGCATAACGCGAGAAAGAGACTCCTATATAGACTTATTTTTACTAAGACTGAATGTACCTGTACAGTACAGTGCTATTTATATTCCCCCGTCTCCACAAACACCTATGACTTTGGAACCCTATTGATTGTTGACTGTTTAAATTAACAATGCAATTAGTATCTCTCAAAGCCATTTTCTCTATTAATTTAAGACTGTAAAAACTCTCTACGTCAACGGTCTGTCTCCTTGTCTTCCTACGTCGCGGGTTCAGTGGTATCGTATCTGCCAAATAGACATAATTTCCTACATGTCAGTTTTAGGTGTCTGTTTGTATTTCTCTCAGCCCTTCCCACTTATTGATTTATGACCTAGTTTTCTCTCACCATACTAACGACCTTTACCTACCTGTGAAGCATCGTTTCAACTACAGGCAGATGGAACTGACGAGGATATCAAAGCCAGAATCGGAAAAGCAAGGCAACCTTTCATTACTCTTTAGTCTGTGTGGAGGTCAACAAGACTGACTCAGCATGCACAATAAGATCTGGATTTTCAACTCGAATGTGAAGTCAGTGCTACTTACTATATGGATCAGAGACTTGGCCAGCGCGTCATAAAGAGCATCTCAAACAAACTACAAACCGTCATCGACAGCTGTCTTCGCTCAATACTCAAGATCAGATGGCCAGAAAAGATCAGCAACAGGGATGGATCTCTGGCAATGAGCGAACCAACCAGGAACCGATTGTGAAACAAATAGGCAGGAAGAAATGGAGATGGATTGGCCATACGCTGAGGAAACCATCAAGTAACATCACTAGACAAGCCATTGTTCGAGTGGAACCCGAAAGGGAGGCGGCGAGTTGGTTGTCACTGCAGGGGTGACTTTGAGGAGGTCATGTGAAGAGGAGATGAAAGCATGTGGGCAGACTTGGAGCGGGGTGTAAAAGTTGGCAGAAAACCGAAGGCTATGGAGATGCGCAGCTGAAGCCCTATGTTCCTCTAGGAATTAAAGGATATAATAATAACAATACTAACGACCTTTGAAATCCTATTGATTATTCGCCGTCCTAATTTATCAATGGCACTAGTGCTTCTGAAGGTCATATGTATACACACAAGCGCTGTCAAACCCTTTTTCGACTGTCGTTTTGAGACAGTAAGAGCTCTCTCTTACCGACGTCCAGTCTTCTCTTCTGTCATTTCGCAGCCCGGAGGCGGTGTGTCATTATTATTGCTGGGTTTTTTTTTGACGTGCGATTAAGACACAGATTAGCCAGCGTATTAAGTTAGTATTCGCTCATCATAACAGTATCGTGGCGTTGTTGCAAATCGACGACTAAGTACTAGGAAGTTCTCGTTAGCGCAAACTGTCACGAGTGTCTGTTAACGGTCCATAACAGACGCCTACACTTCATCATTGACAAATAGCCGTGAGTTACACAACAACTTTCCGCTACCTAAATGACATTAAAAATAAACTGATGTCAGCTCATGGTGAAATCCTCCATACAATCAAACAGAATCCCTACAAAACCAATAATTGAAAATAAACAATAACCAAAACAAAAAGAAATAAACAAATGTAGATAAATATTTCATAAAGACAACAACAACTTACAATTTATGAAGTAAGTAAGTAGTAAGACACATGTTGGATTCTTGGTGTTTTTTCCTCTCTTCTTTTGATGATAGGCATTGGGAGGTAGGGACGGATTTTTTTTTAGAAGTAAAAAATAGGATATTCGACACCTGACGACGAATACTAATATTTAAGTTAGTCGAAGTAGCAAAACAGGTAAATGTCTGTCTATGTGTGTGTGTGTGTAGTAGTGGTAGTAACTTTGGCTCTATTTTTGTATGTATGTGTACACTGGTCACTGGAATTCCACAGGAATAATAATAATATTAATCAACTTGATAGAATTGTTACAACTGTTGGAGTGGAAGGACTGATATTACCATCGTCAGGTGATTTCGTACTGTTCTCTACACCATTACTAGTAGTTGCTTGTGAATTGCTAATACCGCTATTACTACTAACACTATCCGTACTACTACTACTACTACTACTACTACTATTATTATTATTAGTAGTAGTAGTAGTATTTGTTGTTGGTGTTGTGTGAGTGATAGTTGTCGTGGCAGTAGAACCTGGTGATAAAGTGGTACTACTCGTAGAAGAGGCAGTACTGTTAGGCGTTGTAGATAACGTCGTGATTACAGTATTATTATTATTATTGCTATCACCGTTATTAGTATTATTGGCACTGTTATCCGAAGTAATTCCACTGCTGTTATGATTCGTCGTATCATTTGAAGATTGTGTTTTCACAGATATATTAACAGTGGCGTTACTGTTGTTCTTATTGCTGTTGTTGTTGGTGGTGGTGGTGATGTGGTGCTGGTGATGGTGGTGATAGTGATGGTTGGATTTTCCACTCGCTGAGTATGATAAGGATGTTAATGATGTTGGCTGTGATGGTAGCACTGTCGTCGTCATTGTTGTTGACGTTGTTGACAGCGTCGCCGGTAAACCATATTCATGTACAATACGTAATAATTCTTCACCTTTTGATGCTGGTAAAATTTCACTTGTATCACGTAATACTGTGACTGGACGATTATCATAACATTCAATTAAGATATGTTTAATAACATGATTTGGAATGTTCTGTATACACACAAGTGGTGTATGTGTGTGTGTGTTTGCGTAGGCGTAGGCGTATACATATCCGATAATTCCATTTGTGATTGAGACAAGTCAATTCAAACAGCGGGGAAAAGAAGTAGAAAATATGAGAGAAAAAGAAAGGAACAAATAACTAAAATTCAACAAACAAATTCATTTTAATTTATTCAAATAAAAATTGAAAATATGATTTCGGTGGGGGGGGGGGTAGGTGGATGGGTGGTTGAATAGCAGTGGGTGGGGTAATTCTGGGTGATTAGCTGGCTACAGTGTCGTGATTGGAGGCTCATTCTAGTCAACTTAGACAACAACCAACAAATAAAAAAAAACACTCCGTATTCAAGTCAGTGCCGTCGCAACAGCTTTCTGTAACCGAATGTGACTATAGTCTTTTACATTTAAAGTGTGATTCACAGCTCTGTACATTTGCGTGAAAATAAGGCTTATCATACCCTACACTGTTGCAGGAACTTGTATGCATACAGTAATATTTGGTTTCTATTGTTGCTGCATGCGTTGGGAATTCGATCCCCAAATGCTGCACTCCTAAACATCGCTAAGCCTATAAGTAAGATCAGTTAAGAGGAGAGGTTGGCATGAAGCTAGAAATCCCACCTCATAAAAATAGACCCAATTGTTACCGAAGCTTCATAGCTCTGGTTTAATAATAATAATAATTTGCTTTATTCCAAAACAGTACTTGTGATACAGAATGGAATTCTCAGCATTTTACTAACAGTATTGCGCATCCAGTTAGTACATTAACAATAAATAAAATTCTACATAGATTAAGGGTAATCTCAGTTAGTTTTGACAACAACATATTGGCATTCATTATAATAGAGGTTTTTGTATTTCCCAATGAATGAAAAACAAAACGAGATTGTTTTTCATTCATTGAGAAATACAAAAACCTTTATTATAATGAATATCATATACCCAATGCCCAAATTTTTTCAAACCGTTAAAAGTGAACTTGGTTTGGACATATATAACATATTGGCATGTCGGTAGCAAAGCCAAAAATTGGACAGAGTTTTTGAAGGTGTTAGAAAAGTAGATGCTGGCATATTTACTGGCGTAAGCGATCACAAAAAGATCGAGATATACAGAGTCTGAAAGGATGAAGAAGAATGTTTACAATAGAGTTTGTAAGGAAGAAAGAAACAAAGCAGCACATAACAGAGAAAAAAAGAGAGGAAAGGAAAAGAAAGAAAGAAAACATTGTACCTATTAGTGATATGAGATGGAAAGACGAGTTAAAGTTGTTCTAAGTTATAGGTATCACGCCTAATGCTTTCTTTATCGCACAGAACACGAGCTAAGTAGGGTATGGTTGAGTTTTTGTACTTGCTATTGCGAGCATATATATATATATATAGCATATAGCCCTATTTTCCACTACGAACGTTAAGCAATAAAAAATGGTGTTATTAGTCTCTAAGCTAAGCCGATTTAACTATCTTTCTAGAAAACATCTTCAGCAATAACTGTAATGTGAAATGAGAACTGGAAATTCGGCATCATTCTCATCAGGAGACAGATAGAGAGGGAGAGAGTTATAGCATTCACGAAGAATTCTCAAAACGTCTCAACTGCAACTGAACTTACTGATGAAGAGACGTTGTCGACAAGGACAATGAAAGCTTTACAATTCAAAACTGACCTTTCACATCACGGGACACAAAAAACACATCAATAAAATCCACTGGAATTACAAATCTTCTCCATTATTTCGACATTTAATTTCGTTGAATAAATAAGCGCGTGTCACGAAAATTTTCAAAAGATACATATATATATATATATATATATTTCTCTAGTTGGTTTGTAAGGATTAGTTTTGTTTTTATGAGTTGATCACGGATTGATATCACAGTTGGAGAACGATTGAAGAAAACCATCATTGGAATACTGGACAGTTGTTTCTTCAGCCTAGTTTGGGAATCATCGACAGTACGCACCCACTGTCAGGGTTAGAACCCAGGACCTTCTGGTTACAAGGCAAGCTAGCTCGTATGCCATTCAGCAACTGGTTGGTGGTCGTGCTAAATCACGAATTGATAGAAGTTAGAATTAATGGGCTGGCCATTGAGGAGGCGGGTCTCAGTGGCTGAATAGTGTACGAGCTTGGCTTTACACGGAAGCTTTGTTTATCGAATCAATTGTAAACACGCATCATCGGAATGATTCAACACCTGTCCATCCAGATATCTGAAAAATTCTACTACCCCTACGATGACAAATAGGAGAAGACAAAGAAAACTATAAAACTCAAGTTTCGCAGTCGTGTGATTACAATTGATGAGATGATTATGAACGGTGACATATTGTGTTCGAAACTGTGTCATCCAGTGAATGCTAATACTGTTTCACTGACTGTGTGATACATCTAACAAACTAATATGGAGCTGGGAACTAATGCCTGGAGACTCTTATCAAACAACGGTCAAAACAGTCTTCAACGGCCTAGATGGATTTACTATGAAAAAAACCCCTGATCTATACAACCCCATCATTCATCCTGTCACTATTCGTCCCTTCCACAGTTCGACAGTGGGCTCTAAAACTCACGTCTTCTTATTTTTGAGACTCTTGGCCCAGTGGCCTTATAGGCAGCACCACTTAGATGTTTGAGACGATACGTAATGAATTGAAGTCTCAGTGAAAACACCATCGCCTATTTAGAATGCAGGTATATTCAGCTGAAGAGTAGCTAAGATGAAAGGCATGCCTTAGATTTCAATGGTAACCACCATCAACTAAATCTGCTTCAATCCCGATTTACTGGGTTTTTTTCACGCATATCTCGAAATTACAGCATTCATCTACTTCTGATGACGTTATGGTCCTCAGTCAGTACAAATTACTACAGATAAGCACAACTTCAGGTACAGGATGGATTAGCAACAGGGAACTTTGGCTGACAACGGACCAGCCAAGAACCTAGTGCTCAACAAACACGCCGAAGAAAATTGAGATGAATCGGACACACGCTGAGGAGACCGCAGGGAGACATCGCGCACGCCAGGTCATCACTAGAGTGAAACCCGAATGGGAAGCGAAGAGTTAGGAGTCATAGAAAGACGTGGAGGAGAGCAGTTGTAAGAACAGATGAAGAGGGCTGCAGATAACAGGATGAAATGGGGATCTACTGTCGAATCCCTATATATTCCCACTCGAAACTTTAAGGAATAATAATAACAATAATATGTACAGACATTGAAAGCCCCAACATGTAGTTCGGGAAGCGAATCTTGAAGTCTACCCACCATCACAAGTGGTAAAGCTATGAAGACATTAATAGAGATACAGCAATCAGGCTTTTGATGTGATTGTGTTCCTTGGACCAAAGAGCTAATTTACTTGTGAAGCTTTTCATTATCCTGCTAGGCAATACAAAGTTAGTGTTGAATACGGATAATGAGACCAAAGCAATTAAACCAACCAACCAACCAACCATCCACCCATTATTATTAATCCATTACAATAGGCTTGTTTATAGGAAGAGAGACAGTGAAATAGAGAGAGAGAGAGAGAGATTAAGTTTACTAGACAAAAAAGGCATTCGAAATCGATTTCCAATAAGTTGAAAGATCATAAAATTAAATAGAACAGAATAGAACAAAATAGAATATGTGGTAAAGTAATTAATTGTAAAATTGGCAGATGTTGTGTGTAAGTCATAAGGGTTGATATACACACGTAAATAAAATACTTAAGAAGAGGTGAGTTTTTGTGCAACGATGCATAAGTAGATAGATAGATAGACAGATAGGTAGAGACACAGACAGACACAAAACCGATGAAACCGTTAGTTATAGTTATAATAGACTAAGCATATAAATATATTCAAGTATTGGCTATTGTAGGGATTTAGTTTTCAATTGGATGGAGGATTTCATCATGAGGTGACTGACATCGGTTAAACAACCATTGGAAAATCACCACCAGGGAGTACTGCCAGACAGCTGTTTAGGACTCTTCATCAGTACGCACCCACCACGCTAGGGTTCGAACCTAGGACCTTCTGGTTGTAAGGTGAGGCAGTAATTCATCGAAGAAGACATTGAGAAATGGTCGCACTATGTCATGAATTGGCAGAAGTTAGATGTCATGGACTGGCTATTGGATCGAGTCCCAGTGGCTTAATTGTCTACGAGCTCGCTAGCCTTGTAACCAGGATGTCCTGGGTTCGAACCCTGGTGGTGGGTGCGTACTGATGAAGAGCCTCAAACTAGGCTGACGAAAAAGCCCTCTGGAGGTGCTCCCTGGTGGTTTTCCAATGGTTCTCTAACTGATGTCAGTCAGCTCATGATGAAATCCCCCATCCAATTGAAAACTAAATCCCTACAGAAACCAATACTTGAAAATCCATCTGATGCTCAGTAGCGACTGGCCCTATTCAAGGCAGTGACCTGGAGTTCTAGTGGGAAGCCGTGACTAGTAGGGTGCAGCAGGTTGAAGGTCAGGACAATTAGTCATCGAAGAAGACATTGCGAGATAGTCGCGCTCAGTCATGAATATAAATATATGACCATTGTTCTATACTATGTGTGGTTTGAAAAGTTCACAGTCAAACAACACCAACACTGGACAAACACGAAAGAAGATACAAAGTTGTGCAGTTAACACACATTCAATTCATTCGAGTAGATGTATTATATAAGACAACTGAACACTACCCATCCGGGTTTGCAGTAGACTATACTACTGGTAGGTTGGTCAGCACAAAACATTCAACTGGTAGGACACCGTACTAGTTGTTTCGAACACTGTCACGAATCGGATATTGACTTTACTCTCAAATGATCGTTAACAGTCTGTCAAAACCAACAGAGTTATTGTTTTGCGTTCTGAATAGGACATACAGCTTCAAGTTTTAAAGTTTCGGTAGCAATGGTCTTAAAGGGATAGAGTTATTAGCCTTACTCATCACAAGCTAAGCTCTTTTTCCGGCTTACTGACATTTAATCAACTAA